AAAATAGCAGCAGTGTGTTCATAAATTAGGTGGATTCCACGGCACGGTTTTCCCTTTTTGCAGCTTTGCAGAAACATTGGTTAAAAACTTTTCCTAATTATGCTTATCAAAGAGGAATCCGGGCGGTATTATGTTTCTTCTAAAACACATTTGCTGTTTTGCGAATCACCAGGATATAAACAACTCTTCTAGGAGACAAGGTTGGAAAAAAAAAAAACAGGTCAGTGGCTAAAAGACGAATTTAACGAAAGGAGAGTTTTGTTCAGCAAATGCAGCAGCTGTTTTTTTCGTGGTCAATAACTTTGGTGTGAATATGTGCTTCAGCTACCATTACACCACTGGTCATGGCAGGGAGAATAGCCCATGCAAAAAAACCACACATCCAAAACACAAGCTGGTTATGAAGGTCAAGTCTATGACATGGATGACAGAGTGATCTCATGTTATAAAGACTGCAAAGGTTAAGAGGTGTTTTCTTTTTGTTTTTTGTAGTTTCACTCCAATGTCAACCTTAGCCGGGGAGATTTGGATGGATCATTTATCAACACCTGCCACTTTTGTGTCCATATAAGCAAATTTACACAACCTGTGTTTATTTTGACTGACACTTTTGGCATGAGAATTATGATGATGTTTTATCTCTCCACAGCTGGGCAGCATTTTCGCCTTCTGCGAGTCCAAGGCACGCAAAACGCTGCCCAGCTGTACCTGCGGAGAACTGGAATTACACAAGCCGAATGGTAGAAACGTTTTTGACACAACAGATTCAACAGATTATTTTTTCCCAAAGAAGAGATAACTGAGATGTTTTCAGAGATCCTTCACTCTGAAATGCTTTCAAATCACTTGAATCAATATGTTTTTTTGTGGCATTTTGTGTGTGTGTGTGTGTGTGTGTGTGTGTGTGTGTGTGTGTGACTGCTTTCTGAGCACGTATTTGAACAAAGAAAAAGAAAGACTACAATTCAAACAGGTTGAAACTCAGCCTTAGGTCAACACGTTGCATTCACAATTTGCGTTACAGTGCCAATTTAGCGCATAGAGCCAGTGTAAATTTACAGAGGAGCAGCTGTTTTAGGCCAACGTGACCGAAAACAGCTGTGAAACCTTCTGGAATTAAATTCTGATGTTGGAGCTAAAAATAAAACTCAGAAATTTCCCATGTGCCTTGAAGTGAGGAAAAAACAACAGCAACTTGGAAGAAATACTAAAAAAATATCCCAACACAAAAAAACATTAAATTAAAGTAATTACGGGAATTAAAAGGGGGACTGACTTGGAAGAAGCCCATGTAAACTTCTGCTCTGGTAGTATTATAAGTGATCCAAACCTCCCACTGCTATATGGCTGTTGTCCAGCAAGCACATAAAAAAGAAAATAACTGCTTTCTTTATGTGCCATGCACTGGCAGCCGTTGCTTTTTAGGGTCTCCAGTAAAGAACAGACGAAATTAATCAAGTTGGAAGTGGCACCATGCAAAGATTGTAAGGGCTGCTTCCCCACCTAACTAGGCCGCACACTGTATATTCAGGTCAGCCACGGACCCTGAACTGTGAGACCCACTGAACCTGTGGAAGGGCGGAGGTGGAGGAGGAAGACGGACGCTGACAGAGAGAATAAAAATAACAGACGATGTGGAGAAACGATGAGTGAGTCGATGAGGGAGTTAGAGACAGATGTAATATGAATAAAGAGACAGAGAAAGTAAAATGGATCAAGACAAAATAAATAAAACAGGGACAGGATAATAAAATATAAAAGGAAAATAAAAAAACGAATTCTGCTTTATAAATCTAAATCTGTCCATTTGCTAGGACTTCTTTTCTTTTTTAAAACAAACTGTGACATATTGTGCTTGAAAAGCTGACATGGTAATTATTTAATGAAACGTTACAGGTTCTTATTCCTGCTTGAAACATTATAGTTTCTTTAAGATATCTATAACACACAGTGATGGACAGTTGGCCCGAGGCATAAACAAAGAGTTTGTGCAGCTGCAGAGGCCCAAGGCCACGAAAGGCCCAACGACAGTGTTTTGTTTTTATTACATATTTGAGGAAATCACCTCTTTTATTGTTGTGAAACTCAGTTGTCTACTTTGCTGTGTTTAGAAACATCACATAGAGGAAGTTTTTAGGTTGAAAAATGGGAAGCCAGTGAGGGATCCTGTCCTAATTGTCTGTCTATAGTGTCTCTCTCTGCTGAGACCCTCCCCTGTGGGAGCTGTGCTTCCAGTGTACCGCTATGTTAAGGTCAGAGCAGATGTTATTCTATATTTTTCTCATTGTCAACAAATCCCACAATAAAAACAAACAACCAATCATTACTTTCCGACTTTGCGACCCTGTCTGTGGCCTTCAGCCCTAAAGCCATCTGTTCTTACTGAAATTGTTTGTAAATCTTTAGTTACAGTTCACAAATATATAGTTTTATTCTCAAAAAAGAGGGCAAATAATCTCCAAAAACATCTGTTACAGCTGTTGCTGTAGTTAGTTGCCGTAGCACACGTTATTCAAACAGGAGTAAAGAAGGCATTTGTGGTGGATTATTTTCAGCCGCAGATTAGTTTTGGGATTTAGGAGTATAATTACGGTGTTGTAAATTTTACCAGGTTCATTTATTTTCTGTCTTTCTTTTCAGTTATTGTAATTGTAGTTTATTTTTGTTCTTCTCAGTGACTCCCATGTGCTGGAAACGTATGTATTTGTTTAACAAATGAGCCATTCTGAAATGTTTCATTTACAAAACTTTATATCTACCACTTGCAGACATGTAATCTGTGTTTTCTCTAACTAACGCATCTCTTCAACCCCGCTCCATCATGGTCTTTAAGTTGTTGTAGAATATTATGGGATATTGTAATGACTATATATTAAGGCTTTTAAGGCATGAGCGGATGTGAACATTATGTTTTTCCGATGCTAATAAAAACAATGATGAATTCTTCTCTAATTTTTTTTTAAATTAATCTAATTTTCTAATCAAATGAAGCTTGAAATGTTTGTGTCATTTCATTAGATTCCTTGATGTTCACTTGTTGTGTTTGAAGTAATGAGGATCTCTTTAGTGAAGACAGAAACTAGGAGGCCAGAAATCTCTGAAACTGAGGGTGAGAATGGAAGAAAGACGAGGATGATGAAGATGAAGAAGAATCTTTTTTTTTTTTCTTTCAATAGAAGATAAAAAAGATAGTTGGAGGAGAAAGAAATTTAACCTGTTACACAGCTCAGGTATATCCTGCGATGGGGAGGCAGCCCAAGTTAAAACGTGCACCTTACACACAGCACAGCATCAGAGCAAAGGCAGACCGTGACCACCTGGGTAGAGAAGTATTTGGTATTAACTGGACAAAACACTCTGGGTCTGACTGATATCTGCTCCGACTTTAGCGGTCACTGAACTCGAGCGGCGACAGCTACCTTACAGGAGATACTGGAGCCCGGCAGAGCAGAATACTATGATGCTGAGTTTTATCTGCAGCAGCAGAGAATCGAGGAGGAGCAAAAAAAAAAAAAAAAGTACAGTGAGGCCTCTGCTCTTCGTATGGATGCAACAGCTATTGTTGACCTTGTGCAGCCTGGGATCTCAAATTCTGTGAAGTGAGCACAATGTTTTGAAATGCAAATAAGAGGCTCTATGGAGAAAAAAAAGACAAAACAAAAAAAAAACGAGGAATGTATTGCTCCAAGAGGAAAGGATTAGCTGGAGGAGACATAACTGGAAACAAGCAGACGTTCGGCATTAACAGTAAAAAAGAAAGAGAGAACAGGCCAGAGGTAAAATGAAAATAAACTTCAGATGACCCAGCTGAGAGCCACGTGTGCATTTTTGCTTTTCACCAACTTTTGGGAAACACGTGGCGCTGTAGCTGCATGATGACAACACATGAGCGGATACCTTTGTCGTCTTTGATCAGCTACTTTCAGGTACTATGCACCATTCAAACAGAATGGACTACAAACCGGAGTCTCGACACTTTAAAGCTTCATTATCTGATGCTTTTTACTGACGATTTTACCTGTTTTTCTTAATTCTTTGTTTCTTAATTCCTTGTATTGTGTGATTGTGCTCTTTGCCTTGTTGACTGTGTTTTTGTGATTCTCGGGTCTCTCTTGGAAAACAGATCTTAATCTCGCTGAGACGATGAGACGGAGTAAAAAAAAAAAACAAAAAACAGATTAGATAAATAAATAAAAAGTAAATGCTCTTGAATTGTGTTTACGCCTATCAAGAGCTACGGAGAACTGGAGTCAGATGTTTCGCATGCTTGAACTTACTCGGGCTGATTCTGATTTTAATGTTCAGTCTGCTGAACCTCCATACTCCAGAGGAATGCCAAAATTTCCCTCTGCTCCATAGCATTGGAAACAAGAATAACAACCCTAGAGTCCTAAAAGAAACAACTTTCATGTTAAATATTAAGCTGAAATAACGCCTCACTCCGCTCGTCACTACATTACTGCGCCTGTAAACACAGCTTCGTTCCCTGATCCTAAATCTAATCTAACCTTAATATTAAACGAGGGTTTACTTTTCTATATTTAACCGTTAGATAAACATGTGTTTCATTATTCATATCCAGCTCATGTTGCTGTAACACATTCCTTTCATGCAGGGGGAATGTCTTCAACACATCATGTGCATTTCATTTTGTGCTCATTTCACATAGTATCATGAGACCGTGCTGTTTTCTTTTTCATTTCAAACCCACTGTACAACTTTTTTTTTATGGCTTTCAGCAAATAATAAAGTCCTTATGCATCATGTATTTGCACTTTGTTACCAGCTGCACTAATAAGCACAGGGGAAACAATACACCTCTCCCACACAATGGACAGAGACAGATGATTCATGTCAGACCCTAAAGCCGGCAAGCTTTGAAAAAGCACCTAGTAAGAGTCATGGATCGCATTAATAGAGCCTTTCTGGTCACGGTGGAAGCCTTTGTACACTGTGGCTGGTGTGTGCGGATGCTCAGGGTGGGATGATGAGAATTGTACCTGGGATGGTAGTTGGCTCTGTAGCTGTTCTGAAGGAGAGGATGCCAGGCTTGGACTTGCCCTGCTGATTTTCTGCCACCACGTGAACCTCGTACTCTGTATTCCAGTCCAGGCCGCTCAGCACCACATACTCACTGCCATGGGGAAGGCGGATCTCTGGTTTCCAGTCAGACACATGTTTCTGAGGAAGGAATGCAGGGAGGGGAAGGGTGGGGGACATCTTAAAAACTGAGTAACCAAGAGAGATTGTGGTCGTTCTACATAAGCATAGAGGAAAGGGTCATTTTAGATCATTCGATAATGACTCTACGTTTCAGGCTGTTTGCCGAAGATAGAACGGGTGAATTGTTCTTTGATAACTTCACAAACTACACAAGCAGGAGGGTTTGGGGCATATTTTTCAGTTTCACTTATATCGCCAGAGATTATCTTGGCCCAAACGATCGTGTAGCACCATTCTTCGCACACAAGACAAAAAGCTTGTAAAATGGAGAACAATCTGAAGTATAAAGAGGTCGCCATTCATCATATGCAAATGTGTGTGCAATAATCTGAGGTATCAGAAATCTTAGCCGTGGTTCACTTTAACTGTACAGTGAGAAATCTGTTGCTTATATCTAAACTGGTGAAACTTTTTTTGGGCGGGAAACAACGTAGACATGCCAGCTGCTGCGTGAAAAGATGGTTTTGGAGGGAATGAATCTCTTTGCATTAAATACAGAGGTTTCGATTCCACTTCATTATAAGACTACCTTCATAAAGGATTTATAAATGGCTGATAATTCGGTTGTTAACACTTTATAGACCATAAATAAACAATTATAAACAAGTCATAACATAGTTTTCATACACTGATGCAGGCTCACTATTTGGCAAGATCAAGTTCATGCTTACTACTGACTGAGACATTCTGCAAAGATGTAGTAAACTTACACACTAAAAACACGAGGAGGTGTGTGTTAAAAGTAGATTTGTTTCTGCTGCAGATGCATATTTTTTGATAGTTTAAGGTACAAATTAAAATCGAGTGTGAACTAAAGGTGCAGTTACTAAAGTAGCACAGTGATTGAGGCTGGGCGTCACATGGGAAAAATATCTCACCCACCAAATACTAGGCTCAGTCTCTGGCGGTGGAGTTTAATCAAATACACTTGTCAGTATTTACTGGTGAGAAACCAGCGAGGAATCGTGGCTTCCTGGTTGTTCTGTCAGCACTCATCCTCTCTGTCGACAACCTCCCCAAAGAAAACTGTTCATTTTATTCTTCTTGTTAGCAAAAAAAAGAAAAACTTGTGTCACTAATACTGTGGTTTAAAAGTCAAATTCGGTCAGTTGGGAACATAATTATATCCTAGAAGGTGCAAATTGTAAGGTTACAAAAAGTGACATGCATGAAAGGGGCCTTAATGTGCTCATTGTTGGCAGGTGTTTTTTTGACGGAGGTTAAAAGTTAATTCCTGCTTTCAGTTGGTTTGGTGAAGCATTGTTCATATTTGACTGTTTTAATAAAAAAAAAAAATGCAGAGCAGCAAAGTGGCCCCATGTTACCTCCTCGCCCAGTATACTCACAGCCTTGTATCTGATCAGGTAATGTTTAATGGGGGAACCGCCGTCGTCCTGCTTGATCCAGTTGACCTTAAGAGAATTGCCCTTGTTTTGGACCTTGACCTCTAGCTTGGGAGCACTGGGTTCCCCTACACAGGACAAACCAAGAATTCACAATTAGCAGACATAAACATGGCTGTTGCATCAACATGTGTTTGGCCTCTGAACGCAGCTTACCTACTGTGTTTCTAACCTTCCTACGCTGTGTTCACCTGTGCTCGTGTCTTCAAGGTGGCCTGAGCTGCGACGTGAACTGATTGCCGGTTCGACTGTTGGAACTGATTGGCGGTTCAGCTTGCGCTGTTGTAAGACGCTTTTCTCCAGACGCGGCAGAGAAGCAGCGCGGAGTATAACCGATAATCACAGTGTGATGAAAGCCGCCCTTTGTGGGCCCTAATGTAACACGGGGCGTTTCAGTGCCGTCATGCTGCTCTACTGAGCTGTTACAGGATCTGAACACAAAAGTGTCTTCAAATCAAATCCCTGCCGCTGATTGGCCGCAGTGCTCCGCGTTAACACGTGTTGACTGATAGCAGGCTGCACGAGAACATATTAACACAGTCAGTGTTCTCATCAAAAAAAAATATATAAAAAGCTTTCTAAAATAAATAAATAAAAGAAAAACTCCACATTAAGCTCGACTGGTGTGTCACTTTTCAAGTGATACTCCACCCACATCTGTCTCTGATCTTCAAGCTCGCACCACCTGCAGTCTTGAGCGGTGGCTGTAAAAAAAAAAAAAAAAAAAAAAAGTGGATAGTTTCAAAGACTGAGATGCAAGTTGTGAATCTAACTTTTAAAAAGATTTTGAACAAAAATAATAATAATAATAATAACTAAAAAAAGAGGGTTTAGAGAAGCTGCAGGAAGTTTCTATGGATACGGCACCTGTCATGAAAACGTCTGGTTAAAAATGATCCAAGTTATAAAACCAGTAAATGTGGAAATAGTAATAATATCACGTTCACGGGGCCAGAACTGCGTTTTTGTGAGGTCGCCGTGACTTCTGACCTTTGACCACCAAAAATCTAATCAATTGATCCTTGAGTCCTATAGTGATATTTTTTATGTCAAATTTGAAGTTCCATCGAGGTGTTGCTGAGAAATCGTGTCCATGAGAATGGGACGGACGTACGGGCGGACAACCTGAAAACAATGTGCCTCCAGCTCCAGCTCTGTCTCCGGAAGGTGGTTGAGATTGAGGAACGAGTCACACAGCGTCTGACTTTGACACAGGACACTGATGTTCATTTCCTGTTTCCTATCTAACAGTAAACGCTAGATCTTAAACTAAACTCACTTTTTTCCAGCCAACAGCGAGAGAGTATTTGATTTGATTATCAAAGATAGATTTTTTGGCGGAATATTCCTTTAAGGGCAGCTTTGAAGGATCAGTGAGCAGCATGGCGGCTGACGTGTTGTTCTCCTTGAGGCTCCTCATTATCTGCTCTGTCCTCCTGAGTAATGACTGCTGGGTCGCTGGATAATGAGCCTGTAGGCCTTGATTGGACATGTTACTCTATTACTTTTAATAACATTTACAGTCTTTCGGGAGGGAAGGTCAAGGTGTTTTGTGCGTGTAGCGATGTTGGCTTTTACTCTCATGCCACTGTAAGGGCTGTGAGGGAGGAGACCAGAGAATCAATTATCTACTGTACATATTGGTTACACGTAGTTAGCCTTGTTATTATGTATGTATTATATATTAAATGGACTACCTCATGATAGCCAAAGCCTTTGCCCTGTGCTAACAATCTGATATTAACATCCACACAAGCAAGTGGCAGAAAGAAACTTAAATATACTGTATATCTTACATAATGAAGGATATGATGGATACTGGCATACAGTTCAAATGCACATAAAAATGTCAGTTCTTTTTCATTTTTTCTTTTTCTTTAACATTTCAAACATCGGTGTTAGTGGTTGTGTTAATCAAATGAATATCCATGAAGGCACTTTCTCTTCATCATACGAGATCGTCTGAGCGCACTGCCTGAAAACTGCATTCCACTAGACTGGGGTGAGCATGACAGGTGCTGGAAGTGAATAAAACAGTTAGTAACAGCAGCAGTGGGACATTCAGCGGGGGATTATCCACGAGCATCGTTCTGGGTTAGGTGAAAGAAAGGTTTTTTTTTTTTTTGGTTTTTTTTTCTGAGGCTAAAACAGAGAAAGGTGTGGTTAGAATGAGAGAAGCTCCACCATGCAGGCTGGAAAGATTTTGGGTGCTGCTACACACGAGGAAGGGGGCAACATGTGGAGCGTTGCCCCTGACCTCACACTGACACACGTGTAGGAGGTGTGGTTCCACATGTGGCCTGAGCTAATACAGTGTCCTGCCTCAGCTTCCAGCGTACACTGAGAGATAAAGGTACAGAAGTGTTATCAAATTTAGAAACATGATGTTTGCATGGAAGACGATTAGGGCGACATGATGATTTTCAAATGTTACACTCTGAGAGAGACAGATATCATTCATAGAAAAAGGCATTTTCTCAGTTTTGATATTAATGTCAGAACTTGAAATGCATTTTTTTTTCACATCATCCAATCTTCTCCCACACTTTTTAAATACTGAATATTTAGTACTGTTGCATTTCGTTAATTAAAAACTACTAACATAGGTCTTCAGTTTCTTTTTTTTTTTATATGTGTGAACTGAAGAACCGTGCGGACGTGACACCGGGGACAGAGACACATGCAGACAGGACCGACATTTCCATAGGGAAAAACAGCAGAACAATGAGAAGAAGGATGCAACGAGAGGAAATAAACTTGCATGCTGCAGTAATGCAATGCCGTGAATCCAATCAGTACAACTCTGTGAGCTACAGTGCATCGTTTGGGGGGGGAATAAGAAAAATTAGCTTCGTGGGTGAACATGAGGACTACGTTTAACCAGTGCGTGCAATGCAGACTGCAGTCAGTGGCACTTCGTGACGCTGCTCTTGTGATGTTTAAATGTGTTTCCTAACACAATGGTGAATAACCAAACAGTTAAAAAAATTTCATGTAACAACAGATTTGCTGGTTTCACAAAGTCAAATCTGTGATTTTTAAAAACATTTGAAAATAACTGGAAGAGGATTTAGGTACAAATTAAAGCAAAAACAAACAAACAAAATCTTACTTGATTTTACGCAATCTTAATATGTCGTATTTAAATGTTTTTTTATTCATTCAAATTTGTTTTAATGCTTTTAAATGAAATTTTAATGTCATTATTTTCAACGTATTCCCATGCCTCTGTAAAGCACTTTGAATTGCCTTGTGTCTGACTGGCGCTGTATGAATAAACTTGCTTTGCTTTGTCTAAAAATGTTTCTTCTAATCAGGGTTTTATAAAAACAGGAACAACAAGAAAAGGCACACCAGGGAAACAAACATAAAAAGACTTGAAGCGTGTTTGGATTAAAATGGAGCTACTATTCCTGTTGTGGCAGATTCTTTGTTTTTGTCAACTAATCCAGGCTAATATGAAGCTAAAGTATCTTCTCAATTCTCCAGCTATTCCTCTTATTCATTTGTTTTCTCCGATAATTTAGATTTACAGATAAAGAGAGAAAAGAGTGAAGCACTTAAACCAGCTCTGGTAAAGCACTTTGGCTGAGGCATGTCAAACCTCAACAATCTTAACTTGCCAATGCACCAAAGTGAGAGAAAAAAATACAAAGTAAGATTTTAAAAGACAGATGGAAGGAAATGGGCGAGCCCAATAAAATTTTAATAATCCAATTAGCTTTTTCCTTCTCAGTGAAATAAGTTTGGTAATCAGTCCAATTTAAACGCTTGGTTTGATAAGTGCCTCTATAGAAAGGACCCCATTTCCACCTGTTACTAATGTGTGATTGGAATAGGACGAATGCAGGTGTAAACGTAAGCAGGTCACACGGGGTCAGAGTTTACAATCACATTAAAGTGGCTCGGTTAACCACGACAAAAAGAATGTGGCCCTGGTGTGTATTTCTTATATTAATAGAAATATTTAACAAGGCACTAAGAGGGGAATGACTAAATGGAAAATAGACAGAAGTATCATAGTTTCTAGAAGGAAGAGAAAGTCTCAAGATGAATGGAGACGATGAAACGCTACTGGAGTGAAAAAAAAAAAAATGCATGTTTACTAAATCTCTACTACATATCTACAGAGTGACCTCGAGATGGATGAAAAATGGCCGAATAAAATAAAATAATAATAAGTTGTTTTAATGACTCATCTACAAATGTTTCCTGAATGATCACTGCTGATGTTATGATCTCAAACTAAAAACAAAAAAAAAACAAAACAAAAAAAAATTACCTTCTGTTGGCCAGCGAAGACGACATCATCAGCACCATGCAAGAGCCACATGACAAAGTCACATGATGTGCACGCACATGATTGGTTGAAAAGGAAAATATAGAAGAAGGAGGAGCCGGGAGGGGGAGGGCGGGGGTGGGGTCACATGGGAAACATACAAAAGATTTTTGAAATGATGAAAACATGTCAACATAAGGAACAAAAACAAACAGGAATGTTAAAGACAAAATGATACAAAAGGAACATAAACAACAAAAAGAAATACATAAATCGATAAACAGATTTCTTTTTCGTTTTTTTTTTTTTAAATACACATAAGAAACATGTTGAAATCATGAAGCGGCTGCAGACTTAGTTTTGGTTGTTGGTTGTAGGTTAAAGATTAAAGACACAACCAAAACTGTGCACCCTTTTAAATTGCCTCATGCTTCCAGATAAACAGCTTTTCCTCTGACAGATCATTTTTCTTAATATATTTTAACATCATTACAACATTACTGCCCAATCTGAATTTGAAGTACAGTCAGTTCTAACATCATGACTGCCATTAAAGACAAATGAAAGATTTCAAACAAAAAAGAAGAGAAGACTACAGCAGCTGGTTTTTGAAGGACAAGCACAAAATCAGGGTCAAAAAAAGAACAGAGGAAACTCTGCAGCTTTATACAAACCATGCCAGCGAAGTATGATACACAACACAGCAGACAACAGCATGAACACAGGGAACATCAGGAGAGAGAGGGTCTGCATCAGATGACGGTCTAAAAGCATTTGTGACATTTGCTCCTGAGTGATGCACTTGTAGAAAACACAGAGCAGTTGCTGCAGCGTTTGGTATGAATCTAATGTAAAGCCAAGGCTGCATCTGACAAATGTTACGAACAGTGTGTTCGAGGGAAGAGATTAAGTTAGGAACACAGTTCTCATACAGTACATCAGGAGCACAAGTCAAAGGAGCAACAACAGACATACGACCATTGCTCCTGTGGCCTTGCACCAAAAACACAAAGTATGTCTAATTACACATTTTGATGTCACATGTTGCTTTAGGATTTTTTTTTTAAAGCAATCAGCAGTCTGGGAGGTAAGGTGCAATCAGTAATAATTTCACTGGATGTTTACACAAAAGTAATCATAAAATCTCAGCAGGGATTTCTGCAACTGTTGCTGATGAGTCACCACTGTTGTTACCTCAGTGGCTGCTGACCAGGGCATGCTGCTCCTTTAAATGACTATCTGCACCGACAGGGCAAATCCTCAAAGACTCGTGTGAACTGCACTGCCATAGCTGTGAGATGATCTGATACTCAGTCTGAGCTGATGAGAAACATTCAGGGAAGTTTCAAGAAAATTCAAAGTCTACAGAGACAGAGCGGTTTTGATAAAATAAAAAATAAAAAACTAGAATATGTTGATATCACAGGAGCAGAAATAGGTTCAGTAGGTAGTAGGAAGATGGAGGAAAAAACAAGGTGGTACCTTCATTTTTTTTGTTCAGCGATGCATTTAAGATACCTGGCTTACTAATGTAAAAATACATTTACCTGAAAAACAAATCAACTGAGGAGAACAGATGATTTCCTAACCAATCAGCCGTAATGACTCTAAGCTCTCCTGCCATTGTGCAATCCAAGATGGCGACTGGAAGTGTTACCAAAAAAAGGTGTAATTTCTTTAACACTATACATTCTGACGTGGTGTTCTTGGTGTGATGAATTGTGGGGCTAAAATAGTGTCCATGACAATACAAGCGTTTTTATTGACCCTTCAGACACTTTGTCTGGTTCAAGACTTCAGTATTCTGTGTTATCCACCAGCAGGTTGGATTTACCGGTTTGATGTTGACACTAATGATACTTACAAGGCAGAAAAATTCTAATTACTGTAAACTCTATATGACACACACACATAAGGACACACAGTAATGTGTTAGCATGGAGCGTACTATTACTATTACACTAAATGTATTATACTGTCACTCAATGTTCATGCCAAAATAAGAGCATGAACATCTTGTGTGATAGTGTTATAAAAAAAATTAACTTAATGCTCAATATGATATAAACTATCTCTAAAAATAGCATTTAAATGTCAGTTTTGCAGCCACTGATCTACCATATTCATATATATATATAACATATATGAATACATTTTCACTCCAATTCACAACACCACAATCAGAAGAGTCTCTACTATGATTTGGATCTTCATGAACAGGCACATTGTGTTAATTATGTCACACACAATCAGGCGGTTAGAAGGGCAAACCCTCATGTCCTTAGCAAATGTTAGTAAAATCATAATCTATGGGTTTTGAAGACAGTTATCAAAGCTAGTAAGCTGCCAACTCAATTTGCTGTTTTGCTGTGGCTCTGCTCTATAGAGAGGGCGTGTGCCCTCCTATGAGCCACTCCAGTGATGAACATCTACATTAACTGTGAGGCCAAGCAGGTAAAAGAGAGGTAGAGGTGAAGAGAGACACACTGCACACTGCTGGACTGGCATACTCACTAAGGGCCATAGTGGTAGCAGCGATAGAGGATGGAATCTCGGATGAAACTGAAAGACGGTGAGAACATGGTGAGAGGAGCTGGAATTCTCCTCAACATGAGCAACTCAGAGCTGGGTCACTTTTTAAAATAGATACTGTATATATATATAAATATATATATAAATATATATATATATATGTATAATGTCATGGTGAATTTCTCTGGAACATTCCTGTGGAACGACGACTCCTCTGCTTTTTCAGCGTCTGTTACAAAGACCACCATGGAGCTTAGAGCTTGTTGTATCACATCCTGTTGAATGGGAATGTCCATGTGAAAGAAGATGAACTGATACAGTTTTATATTTTTAGATATACTGTTATCATTAATACTGTATTTGCCCATAAGGCCTTTCTCAGTACAGGGTAAACTAAGATGAAAGCTGAGTTCTTGGGAATTTGAACTGGCAACAACAGGAGGATGCTGTACGCTTAGTTTGAAACTGCTGGGGAAAGTGGTGTCGGGCTCAGGTTCTTAACTGAACACCTGTTGTAATAACTGTAATATATATTAGAAGAAAAAAAAAAACCACAAATCTAATATCTGCATATAAAAATATCTAAATCACTACAGAGCCTGTACGTTTTTATAGAGCAGTTGCAGATCTGCAGCAGCAGCGCTCTGCGTTAACTGCCCAGTAAAAAACATGAAAGATAATTTTTATCTTCAGCCAAAACAATTTGGCACAAAGAAATATCAGACTGTGAATCTGAGACTAAAGTTTATCCTGCATATGGAATTTTATTTGATATTTACGATCTACAGAGAGTACAGTGCTTGCTGAGAGAAGACTGCTCTCACCAGCCAGTGATGACCCACTAAGACTAGTTTTATTGTGTCTTATTCACAGATACTGGCTACTGTAGGTTACGGAAATTAAATTAAGACACAAGGAAAATATTGCCTGAAGAGAAAATGGCAAAATGAAAATAAACTCATAAGCAGGTTCTGAAAATTTGAATTGTGGGAACAGGTTTGTTTAAGATTTATCGCTTCCCAACTGTGAACCCACTTCAGATCCAGCTGGGCCTTTTTGTGTTCTCCCTGTGTTTGTGAGTCTTTCCTCCGGTACTCTGGGTTCATCCACAAACACACACACACACACACGTTAGATCTTGAAAACTACTTGATCAAGACACGGGCCTCAGATGTGGAGTTGCTCCCTGGAGGCTGGACTGTGGCTGCCCACTTAATAGTTAGCAAGCATATAACGCTGAGGACAAGGTCCCGCCCCTGCCATTAAAACAGAACAACTTATGAGCCGACACAAAATAGATTCTGTTGTGATTTTAGAGCTAATGCCTGTAAACATCAAAGGAATGTCTCACTAAAACAAAGGTGAGACAGAACAATGATTGTGCCTTTCCTGAATTATGTTTCAGTGCTTTTCAGGCTTCAGTGAGTTGTTTGTTGAGGTTCCTATGCTGCGTTCTTATTTCTTCTACAGTGAGTGCACAGTGTAGTTTCCTTTAGTGCCCATACTAACTGCCTTTTGTTTTGTTTTCCTCTACAGTTACCTTAAGTTGATAGATTCCTATAAAGTCCAGCCAACACTCTTAAAGGCGAGACACACTATTCTCCTCGAAGAGAGATAACGTTGATGCAGCCTCTTCTGTTTCAAGGATTTCTACAGTGTGTGTGTGTTTTTGTACACACTAGTCTCCAAGTTATTAGCTGTTGTTTTCTTTATGTGTTTACAACATGTAAACATAATAGCCTTGTTTGATAAAAATGAATATTCAAGCTGGACATATTCCTAATACAATCAAAAGGTTAAGATTCTCTACTGGGAAACTAGTATGAATGAAAACATACTTACTGAAGACCTGAATCCAGAACACATTGGCCACATTTATGATTACGGGCTTTAGGAGCAATAGATAAAAGCTTTCTCTGAGCAGCCGTCAGCTTATAAAGAAAGCTGCAACCCTGCAGAAACTAGGAAGCTATTTACTGGATTTCTTAAGATTCAATTGTGGTCAAGTCTAATGGCCAAATTGCAATTGCAAAATAAAAGCATTAAGATTCTGGCAATTGCAAGCCTGGATATTTTAGCTGTCTAGAATATTTATTTTAGCTTTTAACATGAATACCTGCAAGTATTCTTAATTTACATTAATTACTGTGTGCCTCTTGTTTATCTATGTTTATAATACAGTATTCCGTCTTTAAAGACCTCATATAACCCTCATTGACTGAACTGCTGCAGTGCACAAGTACAACCTACTTTATAGAAGAGAGACACCAAAATAATAGGTAGCACCAAGGACTACGGTGCAAAATAACTCACTTGCTAGAGGCTGTGAGTTTGTCACATCAATCTATCACACCACTAAACAAACCTGAAACCACATTAGAGTAAAGGAATCGACTGTCGTCTGGAACATTAGTGCAACGGGTCATGAATGGTGACTGGTGTTTATGTAAGAAAGAAGAAAAGTAGTTATAGTTTTGGGACAGCGGGCGGTGAATTTCTGCGGACGACATCACGTGATCAAGATTTACAATTATTATAGCAAATTTTATTCGATCATTAAAAGGGGAGTTTTAACGCGGAGAGGATGATCAAATAAAAGCAGATGAATGAATGGCACGGAGATGGAAAACAAATACAGAGGAAAATAATGCAGAGGAGACAGGAAAAGAAAACTTACTTGTGAAAGAATACTCTGAGAAGTCCAATGGAATACAGAACAGATGGAAAACAATGAGAAAACAACACAACAAAGAGGAGAAACAAAGACAATGAGAAATGAGAAATATGATCAACTCTGTCCTGCCACATCATTTACTCACTGTCACACTGCTGCTGTGTCTTGTTGGGCCTCCTATCTACAGAAAGCCTGGCTTCCTCTTTGCTCTGCAGCTAACTTTGACTGTGATAATCCTGGAACAATATTAACATCCAAATTAGAAATGTGTCTTTTAAATGACTTCAGGCTCGGCTGTGACGCCGGTCATGGTAGGGATCCAGTGTTTTCTTTAACAACACATTAAATGACAACATGCATACAGTCCAAACTGATTCCTCTGTGTCCATTCTCACTTCACTTCTCTACATGATACATGGAGTAAAGTTTGACGTCAGATTCATACATTTAAAAAAGTTCTGTTTAGACTGGTCTAAACTGAATAAATACACCAGACACTAATTACTTTGCTGAGACACCTCGAAGTAGGACAGTGACTCCGTCTTTGACGTCAGGGATTGGGGCAAAATAAGCAGGATGAGGCTGAGGAGGGCTGTTTCTACAGAAGCAGCGGGGTGAGGAAGCACAGATGGAAGCATGACATGGAGGCCGCTACGAACTAAAACAAAGATTTATTCATGACCCTGATTATAGATGCTGACTGAGAAATAGGTCTGTTTCCTTCTCACTGTTGCCTCGGTAAAGTAGCTCCACAGTGGTTAGATGGATTCAATTATAATGAATAATTTTGGTTTATTAAGACATGAATCTTATTTTCCTTGTTTTCATTATTCCGAACACGGAACTCATCCAGTCATCAGACAATCAGGAAACAACCGCAAAACTAATAATTACCCGGACTGTCCGGTGTCAGCGTCCATCAGAGTTTACAGCCTGACTGAACGAACATTTCAGGTGAGGCTCATGTCAGTTCTACCTACTAATAAAGAGGTTTACATAATCTGGCTAAATTATCGGCTCATTAACAACCAGTCTGATCACCTGAAAGCTCATGTTTCTGGATTTTGCAGCGTTGTTGCCGTGTCACAGGTCTCAGAAAGAATCATGGACAAAACTACAAAAATAAAAAGCAGGTCGCGTTAAGCGGAATTATCCTTTAATCCAAAATCCTTACCATCATGTTTGAGTCTGGCACATTAGCTATACTCGGTCCACACTGGATTTAATGAGTGTGACTGCCTCAATACCAAACCTCTACCGTTTAACCTTGAATCTTTCCCCATGTTAAAATGTGAAATGCAATTATTTGGTGTTATATTAAAACACTTAGCAGACACAGGAAGTGATCTTTGTTTTGCAGAGTGCAGGTTCTCTCAGCTTGAATATAAGAGCAGTTCCTGGACCTCTACTTGGCCTCCTTTAAACTTCAGTGAGAGCTTATCATTTGACATATTGTGGCACATAAATAAACAGAAAGTTGACACATTTTATTTCAGGCTGACACTTGGTTAATGGTGTCTTGCTCCTGCTCTTTGCGGCAGTGGTTGCGGATGCCGCCGTGTGACTAACACAGCTGTGATCCGATGACGGATTATTCACAAGAAAAATTTATCTGATCTGATGCGAGTGTCATGGTTGATGAACAAATGTGGTCAAAACTTCCCTCATCTGCCTGACAAGCCGGTTTTTCTCCTCGTGTCTCTCTTGCTCTGTTAAAGTGACTTTTTTTTTTTTTCTTCTTTCCTTCAAACACAGTTAAGTAAAAAATTTCCTGCGACATTTCATCATGTGCTGCCATCTTCTTCATGAAATATAAACAATTTTCAGCGGAGCATGACCTCTGGCTGTTATATTAACAATGCACACCGTCACTGCACTATAAATACAGAGCTGACACTTTACACTGAAGTATAAATCAGCCTTAAGGACGTACAAGTGCTATCCAGAACGCTTTGTCTAAATCACCTGAGTCGTGGGCTAACGAGGCAGGGCTCGGAGACGAGGTCTGCCTTACACACTGCAGAAATCCAGGAAGAAGGAAGCACATAATACTGTTCAGTGACGAAGGATACAGAGGTTACACTTTGCAAAGTTAACACTATTAACGAGGATGGACTTTGAAGTGGCAGTGGCATCGTGAATTATCATTCCCTCCGCCGTGGATTGGAGGAGGACCGCACCGGGGCTTGTCGTGACAATAGAGGAGTGTAGGGGTTGTAAAGCATCTTGACTCAGCTAGACATGAGCAAGCGGTGGAGTGCGCACTAGGTTCAAAGCGTTCAGGGGGTCAGAGGAGTTTACTGAGAGCAGGGACAGGAACAGCGGGGATGGTACTTACGGACTGGCTCGGTCTTGAAAGTCTTGGCCGAGCTGCTCTCGCTTATGCCTTTGCCGTTGATGGCGGATATCTTGACCTCATAGTTGGTCTCTGGTTTCAGGCCATCGATGGTGACCTTGTTCAAGCCTGTGGGAAGCGAGGGTGGTGTTAGTCTCAGCAGGAATACAGAGAGCTGAGACGAATGGACCAAGATGTTCATTCCTTTTCATGTGCTAATGTGTGCCAGATGCATAAATGACTATTATGGCTTTTTTCAGCACATTAAAATCTAGCCTTCTGTTATTAATGAACAATGTCAACACAAACCCACAAAATAAAACACTGGTAACAAATGACTGCTGATGTTTTTTTTCTTGGGAGGACAAAAATAGATTTTCTTTCTGTTAATATACATATACATATACATATACATATATGTATATATAAATATATATATATGTATATATGTATATTAGACGATATAGACGATTAGCCATTGTCTGTGTTTGCTCTTTTGCTCTTTTCTTTTGCTTCCTCTTCCTGATTCCATGTAGTTTTGTTATAGATAATAAGAACTAACAACAAGTAAATAAATACAACTGTATTTTCACAATGATTTGCCTGTAATTGCAGCACAGACAGGTTTGTGTTTATACTGTATATGCCACATGTTTTACCACCGGGTGGGTCACCACAGGTGGGACAGAATAGCCTCCTGATGGGATTAATCATGGAGACTCATTAACAAATGGGAACAACCGCAGAACAGGGGCACATCAGACCAACACCATGAAGATCAAACGCTCAGAAAAGGATGAGGTCTAATTGCAGTGGGGTTTTGTGATTTATTGTTACTGGTTTTACTGTCGGAAAATAACATTAAAGATCAACTGTAACACAAAGAGTGTCAAGCGTAGCACGCAAAGAATGCTATTAGAAAAGCCTGCGACTGTTATCATTAAATGCGATTTTCACGGGTGAAGTGAATCAATTTACATCGTAATCATGTCTGAATGTTGATAGCTTCAAATTTAATAAATATAATCTAAATAATTCCATAAAGTGTGAACTTGTGGTGTTTTTTTTTTCCAGAGGCAAAAAGAATAAAAAATTCCTGATTAAAATGTGCAACATTTCCATAGACAGACATAGTTATTTGCATATTAGCAAGGCACCACTGAGATTTCAATCAGGATACAAACACACATACTGTATACACACTGTGCTCCCTGACTTTTGTACAAAAAAAAAAAAAAAAGCCACTTGGGTGATATCTCACTGTGTAATACAAAGAATAATAATTTCATGGATGAAAACAAATTTAGATGGTGGTGCAAAAGAGCTGAGAAACATTTTTTGATTACTGTGATGCTGGGAAAATTCTAAATTCAAGTTAATGCGTCAATGAGACGGACTTTAATAATGAACCATGCATAAATGAGTGCTCGGGGAAACCGTGTGAATACAACTTAAAAGGCCAAATGTATATACAACTGGGCTTTTAGCACCACCAGCTTCAGCAGGACTGACGTCACTGCTGAAACCCTCATGTTCAGATGAGATTTCCAGCCGCTGTGGAGTAAATTACCACTGATTACCACATGCTGGTTTCCTCAGCTTCTCTAAAAGGTTATCTCCACTAATCATAACAATCGTTCGGCTGACTGAATATGACTGACTTTGCTATGTGTTTATCATTGTGCTGCCGCAGTGCATGCTTACTGCTGCAGCAAGGAAAGTGCACTAACGTTTTAAGAAATTAATAAGTGGATGTAATTTGGTTTCTGGTGCTCGCAGCCATAAAAAAAGAAAAACTAAACATCAAACTTTCAACAATCATCCCAGACACAGAAGACGTGTTTTTGTCTTGTGTGCTTGTCTGTGTGGATTTCAGTAATTAAAGTTTAACGCTGCTGATATCCTGTTTTTTATTGAGCAAAAACCGAAGAGAACATCGAATTCATCTCACTAACACGTATCTTATCTGTCACAGATAGAGTAGGGAAGTCAGAAAGTACTGAGAGACGGACTGAAGCAGTGTTGATATTTATCTTCTCATGGAATTTGTTGGCAGTTATAAAAATATAGCATGAGGCCAGTTTTTATCCCTTAAGCCTGTGATCAACAAAAAAAATGGTAGAAGTCACATAAATTACAAAATGCATTTTTATCGAGTCCTGCTGTCACTGTGGTGGAGCGGAGATATTTGTAGTCCATCTGCATCATAAACCTGGATACAGTGTAGTGATTATTGTTTACTTCACACTGCAGGATACGGTCACGCATAAACATCTAATGCATAAAACATAAAACATGAAGTGTTACAGTATGCAGCACTGCTTTTAAACATGTGACTGCATCCCTGATTAACAATACAGTGAGAGACCTTTAAAACACTTTACTTGTCAGTCATTGGATATTTTAATATATTGAACAATAACAATATGTAACTTCCTCTCTCCCTGGTATTGTAGCTTAGCGAGGCCTTTTGTATTCCTGAATTTACAAATTGAAATTACAACTATACAAGAGGAAACATCTGCACGTTACAGTGCAACAGACAAGGTCCTGTCAGTGTACAGTATGTGTGAGGCTCGATTTTATCAGATGGGGATTAGCTGATGTGGTTGAATGAGGTATTTTTGGCAACATTTACTGTTGGTGCGTGGGTGCGTGTGTTTTGTTTTGTGTATATGCCGGCGTGACAGGCGGCTCTTGGGTCTTGAGCTGACAGCGGAGCCTGTCAACCACTGACTGATACGTCCCATGTGGCTGACAGGACAGGAACCATCCAGATTTGTAAGAGCCACAAACCCTCAGTGGGACGGGGATATTATCTGGGACCTGTCAGTGTCGGAGCTGACTGTCATTTAGGCTGCACTGTGTTCCACCTCTCCTCTTGACATCAGCTACTGTCATGTTGGGATTAGCCGTTGTTGCTAGCAGGAATGTTTTCTGCAGTTCCGGCTCATATCTCCATCATGTAAGAGCTGCAGTCTAAAGAAACACTCCCTACAATAATAACAATAACAATAAAGAACAACAAGAACAATAATGATAATCTTTTAAATTTTTTTTAAATTAAATGGAAACGGCAAGTGTAGCTAATGTTACCAGCCGTCATGTTGTGAAGAGATCAGATTTTTTATCAGTTATCGATGACTAAATAAAATAAAACATCCATCTCATGAACGTCAGTCAGGAGATATATACTGTATATATATATATATAAATATATATATATAACTCACCGCCGACAGCGTCGACGTCCTTGCCAGTCCATTCCTGGCCAGGCAAACACCACTCCACTCTGTACTTGAGAATGGGCACTCCACCCGTGGAGTCGGGCTCCGAAAAATGGACCACTGCTGTGCTCGAGAAAGGTACCACGTATTCCATGTCGGGCGACGAGGGCACCTCTGCGGCAGAGAACAGAAAAGAGACTTGAAGCGTAACGCTGCACAAACTGCATCATCTCCCAACATGTAGAAGAAACACCGTGGCTCTCAAAAAATGTTTAATTTCCAAAGATTTTAATTTGATTAATGCAAAAATAAACACTTAAAAAGTTTTACAGAGAGCTTATGAGAATATCCTCTGTAAGGGTAATGCCCATGCTGCTGCCACTGTCTTTACACCACATGCCGTTTAGCAGAGCGCCATCTGAGCCACTGCTGAAGATGACTATCGCACTTATCAGTTACTTAAGAAAAAAAAAAAGAAAAGTTGGGAGTATCATCACTGACATCTAGAAGGCATCGGCATATCTGTGTTTTCACTTTCAAGGCTTTGCTTCAAAGTTGCCAATATATTTAACATCCTTACTTCAAAGTGTAAAAATTATGACACCACATCACAGGAAGGGTTAGCTTTAAAAGATCCTCAGACACTGAATCGGGGAAGACTAGCTTTTGGTACTATGCAGCTTATCATTAGAATAAACTGCAAAACAAACTGAAGTGAGAGAAACTGATTCATCTGAGGGACTTTAAAGTTCTCCTTACTGATATTTTAATAATGTTTTAATGAGACTTCCTGACTAACAAAGTGACTGAAATGACACTTTTTGCTTATATCTTCACAAAGTGAATACAACCTATTGAATTAGTTATTTATTATTTTACGGTTATCATTAAAGTATTCAAATGTCTTCGAAATGAAACCTCGATCCTTCAAAATAAAACACGATGACAATGATTTCAGTGTCCGGTGATGCAGGACTGCACCACAGGATCTAAGCTTTACCAAAGCTTATTGCATTCAGGAGCCAGCCACTGCAACAGCCACTGATAATGTACTGCTCCATAATCAGCTGCTTCCACAACCGAGCTGCTGGCGTGGCTCTATACTGCCCCAGAGCCTGCGGTTTGCAGCGACAGCCTTCGCTCCCGCCTGTGATGTACTTTGAAGATAAGACAGAAGGGTCGCAGGAATGGAGCAACCTACACAATTTAGCAGTCCTCTGCAGACGTTGCCGCGCCACTAAGTGAACCTCTTTTTGATGTTTCAGGCGAAGGGGCCTAAGCTGTGTATGTCAGGCGTGTATCCGGTACACAACATTGAGTTAAATTTCCACTTGTAAACATAAAAATCAATCAGCTGGACATATTTTCTGGACATGATCACGTTCATCAGTGGTGTGTGCTCCATCACGATCGTACTGATCGGTGTAATGAACACTGCAGCCTGTGGAGGTCATTAGCTTTAGACTTAAGATTTGAATCTTACTCGCGTATAAGTAGTGAAACCTCAGCGCTACTAATTACAAAATAACACTGGACTCGATGTTTATCTCAACACTAAAAGGTGACAGAACAAACTAATCACCAATCCATTTATGTATGTCTGCAAACGTCCTAGAGCCACGCACTCACCGCCATCATACAAACAGAAACTGCAAATGATGCTCCAGTAATGATAAACCCACCTAATTATTTCTGGATTATGTACCATTATTATGTCACGCAAAGACTGCTTAATTACCCTTGAAATTGAAATGACTGTTCAGGGGTCTTTGCTTCACGCTACACGTCGGATTGTTTTTTCATTGACATATCAAAGGTGTGAAGACACATTCGAAAAGGGTTTATTTTGTCCAGCTCAGGTTGGAAGTAGACGCTTTAGGCATACTGACGAGTTCTGCAGCAAATGAGAAAGCCAAAAGAAAACACCTCAAAGGGCCTACAGTGTATTGCACAGAAGCAGCAGAGGTTGTCAGTACAATTAATTGGACCACACTGTATTTAGTCAAGGTCCTGAGTGACCTACCTCCTCTAATGGGTCCAAAACAATTTGCATACCAAATGAAGCTAACACAAACCAATCTTTGGGACTTAGAGGACAGTTCCAGTGTGATTTGAATTTTTGCTCATTACATGTCTAGTCTGTGCTGTGGTCTTTATGTGCTGCTTCGGGGAGATCTCAAACATAAACATTAATTCTTTCCATTTTTACACAGTCAACACAGAGTTGTATCTTAGCTACGACCCCGTTAATCATCTCAAGGAAATTAGCGTCTTCCTGAATTGGTTTGAGAACATTTCGTAAGTGGTTGTTTTAGATCGTCCTGCAATTACTGCAAATACAAACAAGAGATCTCAATTATTGTTATTGCTGTAATTACTGCAGTGAAAACAGCAGCTTTTAAATAGATTCAGTTCACTGTGCCACTGCGAGACTCTTGGTGTTTTCTTTTGACTACAACCTTGGTTCAGACGAATAGATGAAAATCAGTCGTGTACACTTGTAGCCAGCTCTGGGTGATCTCAAAAGACCAAGAAGTTCACTTAACATCCAGAAACTGACACTCACACATTCACTACCTCTTGTCTTGATTGTAGTGTAATGCCCTGTTTACTGTCTGCAGCTTATTAAAAGTCAGCCCCCCGAGGGATTTCACATATATATACACTTCACACATTGTCCTTTCACTGGCTTCTGACTGCCTTTAGAATTGACTTTAAAATTTTATCCATAACTTCTAATGGGCCTTGCTTCTGGTTTTACTGCTGAGCTGTTAAACCCCTAGCGGATTAATCTTGACCTTGGAACAATCATTTGGTTAGGGACTGAAACGGGAGGGTGGAGGTGCTGGTGGTATTCATTCATTATCTACTATAACATTGATAAGTTCATCATTTCGGGGATTGTGAAGTCATCAAGTTTAAATTAAAATTTATTTATTTATTTCTTAAACTTTTGATGAATTTAAAAAAAAAAGAAAAAAAAAAGAAAAAAAGAAATTGCTCAGTGAACAAACCTGCTTGGATAAGAATGAACTCCTTGGACCCAGTGCCCATCGCGTTGGTTGCTGTGCAGTTGTAGGTCCCATAATCACTCTCAGAATCAGGGGTAACCTGAGCCGCAGAAACAGACAGACAGGCAGGCAGACAGACAGACAGACAGACAGACAGACAGACAAACAAACAAACAAACAAAACGTGGTAATCGGGTAAGACCCTGCAAATGAACAAGAGAAGAATACCACTAGGAACATATGTCAATAACATGTAATTATTAGTGATTGGTGCACGTGTTGCAGTTCAGTCATGGCTAATCCCAAGTGATTCATTTGGAAGTTGGTCAGTAAGCAGAGGTGCAGATATCTGCTGCAGGAAGTAGTCATTACCTACTGCTTCATTAACGTCAGTATCTAACGCTCTGCACTTAAAAAAAAAGAGAGAGTTGTTACTTGTTAGCTATTCATGTCATTACTCAAGACACTCTTTATCCACAGCTGAGGTGTGTTTACCTGTTTCATTCATGAATAATAAATAGGAATTACTTTTTAAACGACAAAAAAGTAAAAACGTTTTCTTTTTCATTTAAAACGACTCAATTAGAAATGACAAGAGGAAGCTAGGAAGCTTTGTTTAGAAATCAGCAGGTGAAATCACACTGAAGTGCAACGAAAACGATGCACAACTGCTTCTAATGGTTGATTTTTATCTGTGTAAGTAAGTGCAGCTGTAACAGCAGACACAGAATCTGATATTACCCCCCCCCCCGACAAAAATGTAATTTTTTAGTGTCTTAAAAGAAAAACAAAAACAATCTCTCTGTGTTGGAAGAACTCTTGTGTCTTTATGTGTCAGTGTAAAGACGGCAGGTGCGGCAGACCTCCAGGTAGCTGGCGGTTGGCGTGTGGTAGATCTTGCTGTTGGTAACGTTGGCGTTGGGCAGCTGGTAGTTGTCCCTGAACCAAACGACTGAGGCTCCCGGGTGAGCGTCCACCTTACAGCTGATGTTGACCGGATTTCCCTCCCACGTGTACGCCACCACTGCACCCTCGATCTTCGGAGCATCTGCAGTGTCACACGGGGAAGTGAAGACGGTAAACATCACAGCGTGCATCTTACTTTACTTCACTTGATGGCCTGCTGTGACTGACACGACTACAAATACTGTTCCACCTTCAGGGGATTTTGTTTGCAGATCTAAAAACAAACTGTACTAGGCTTTGGTTTGTGCATGAATAATGTTGCCAAAATGATACTCAATCTACAAATGTAATGTTTTTATAATCCATTACTGACGCTTCATTCCAGAGGTGTGTGAGATGTTCCACTAACAAATCTTTTTACACAACATACACACTATTATCAAATCTATCAAATCATCAAATCCCCGGGATAGATAAGGAATCAGCCAGCTGGGAAAGGCCACGTTGAGCCATCTATTGCAGAAGCAAAGAATTATGGGATGGCAATATTTCATTCCTTCCCCTGAAGCCTTCCAGCAGCTCTTAACCATGGCTACCAGCGTGATACTTCATTTAGAAATCTCTCTTTTCGAAATCAAAAAAAAAAAAAAGGCATTTAAATCGCACTTCACTATCACTCCTGAGAGCAGCCGGAGCTCTCGAGGCAATTCTGCCAGAACCTGCAATCTTACAGGACGGTAAACAAACGCTGAGTGCAGTCTAATGGATGTATTTGTCTCATTTCTATACATTCCTGGTGAGATTTTTATTATTATATACATTTAAGTTTAAAAGACAACCTGTGCTGGGTTTATGGAACACTGATTTTTATTTTTTATTTTTTTTTGCCCGTTTCACTTGTGACAAAAAGCAAGTGTAATTTTTTTCCCTGCAAGATGCTCCAGCTCAGCAATTACAAAAAAACTTCGATGTCTCACAGGGCTGAGTGTCATTTTTATACAGTACGTCTTAACAGGCTCACAGTCATGAGCACTGAGTCTACATAAATAACAGTGCTGCATACTGTCAGGTTCCAACTGCAACAGGAAATTCAGCTGGTTTTGATAAACATTAGAGTCTTCTTCTTCTCTCTGCTACTTTTCTATATTGGATACCTGCAGAGATACCAATAACGCTAGTAGCACCCATGCTACAGTGTACCTTCTATTTAACAAGCGACGCTGATGTGCTCGCTGAAGTGAATTGGTACCATACGGTCACAACTTTTTACCCTGAACCTCCATTTTTGGCATCATCATTGAGACGTAAGAGGCAATAACAGGAGATGATTGTTTTCCTGTTGTTTCTTTTTTTTTTATTATATCCCGCTCACATCATCGGCTGCAGTGAAGTATGCTTTGCTTCCCGAGTGCTGTGAAACGCTGTGGCCCCTGATGCTGCTTTACTTCTGACCCTGGATCCTTGAAAACTCAGCAGCACACTGTGCGCTGGAATTGATGAACGAGGGTGAGTCAATAGATGCTCCATCTCCTGAAGCCCGGAGACTCTCGCTCTTTTATCAATGATGGTTCGGGCCTCATTGACTCACTACAGTGCGTCTGACCTGCCTGTTTGATTTCTGCTTCTTTGGTCTTTCACATAAAATCAGTAATAATAGATTGCAATAAGCAACAAAGCACCAGTGATAAAACATCAGTAAAATCAACAATAAGACATTCAAAAGCAAATCTGTATGGAAGTATAAAGTCAGAACGCTGGTTTAGAGAGATGGGTTTTAAGAGCAGTTTTGAATTCTGTAAATCTGCCATTGGTGCTCACGTAGGTCACATGACACATAAAACACATACAAAACATAGTGATGACCATGATAATATTAATTACAAGGGGTAATATCCAGTATAAATAAGATGAACTACAATTACAGCACTATTAGGAAGAATATTTAGTAAGTTACATTAAGGATTTAATTAAAAATATATGATAAATGACGTTTATTTCATAAAACATAAAGCACTGGGTATCTCCATTATAGGCTATATATTAAAATATAAACACTGCATATGTGACTATGAGCAAAGCTTGTATTTACAGTCTGGAGAGTTTGTAGCTTGTTCATAAATTGTGTATTGTGAGAAGGACAGTTCTAATAAGCAGCATGGTTTTGCTCATTGCTACAGGCTCTTGAAGATCAGCTCATCGTGATTAATCCACACCTTTGTGACGCTTGTGATTCTACTCAGCTTTTGCTTTAAAGAATAAAAGAAATTAATCCCTGGATATTTTTAGGGTCAGCTGATTGCATAAACGCTGATTCTATCTCGCCACAGATAATATAACAATGGCTCTCTGCAGTTTCAGTCTTCAAATGTGGGTATCATCTTCATCATCCTCATCACAATTCAAACTGTTAATGTCTGCAGATTAGTTAGTATTTTGAAGTCGGCAAATATATAAAATAAAAGCGATGCACATGAGAAAGGACTATCTGACTGTAAAAACCAACAGGACAGAGATGAGCACATAAGAAGGGCTCTGTTTGCAGCTCAGTGTTTTCACGGAGCACAGTAAACAAACCTCGACGGCTGACAAAATGGGAGTTCAAACAGAGGCGATATTAACACTTTCAGCAGCAAACCTAGACACTCTTAGCCCGGCTAATGGGATCATGCTGTGCGGCAGATAGGAAGTTCCATGCTTAGATAACGTCTTCATTTTGCGAGTGACTGAGTGGTGATAGAGAGGACAGAGAGTGAGAGCTCTGCTCAAGACAAAGCACCTTCTCTTATCGATAATTGCTTGCCAACAGTGAATCAGCTACCTGATTACCCGCTGATTACTCTAGCTAACTGCAAGCCCTCAAACAACTCTATCAACACCGCGTTGTGATTATATCTCTGAGCAAATTGCTGGCGCATTGAGAGCAGGGCATATTAATCCAATTAAGCGTTCATTGGCTTTATTTTTCTCTTTCTCTCTCTCTTTTTTTTTTTTTTTTTTACCAAGGTAACATTCGACAGATTTCAAAATGAGATCAAGAACGATTTGGCTTCCATTACGCACATCTAATCTCTCCAGGCATATGTTTTGTGTTAGGTAAGGCACTGATGGGGAAATGCATGAAAAAACACAGGGCACATGTCCTTGGCATCTCTGCAGCTCTTTTGGATGCTGTAGTATGTCAGTATGTCTTGAGGACAGCTTATGTTTTTGTATTTTCTTTTTTCAACAACAAATGAACGATGTGGAAAATTTAGCTCTTTTTAGGTCTACGTCAGAACTGAGACTTTTGTTTCCATGGTAACAAATCACAGTGGTACCACTGACCCAGCAAAACTCTGCTCTCTCACCTACACTATTCATCCCCAGAAATAGAGGTAACTGCCAGAACACCGAAGCTTCAGAGCATTTCCATCGTCCTCACAAACCTGTCCTGTGACCCTCCTCCTGAAGGCCTCCGGCGCCGTGGGTTTATTCTTTTATCATTTCTAAAAGGCATTGATTGTGAAGTAAGTTTAGCTGTTGTTTTGATCGCTGTAGTTTTTGTTTACCCCCAGAAAAATGTAACATAATCATGAATTAGATGTCTGAGAAGTGTTTGTAAATTTACTTCACAAAAAGCTAATAAAAATGAGATGTGTTATTGTTGAGGTTGAATTATGGAACAATGCAAGTACAAATTTAAAAATGTGTAATTTGCTTTCAGTTTTCTAGGAATAGTCTGTAAAGCTATTTTTGAGGCTTACAAATGCTAATGTGAATTTTAATTTGTGGTTAACAGAGCGATTTCTGAGAGTTACAAGTGTGAACATTTTCTTTTTTTTTGGGTGGGGAGCTTAATTGATAAGAATGTAGGCAGGCATATATAAGCATTTTGCTCAGTCACTACTTAATACATCAACCGTTGACTTTGTTGTTTGTGGGTTTTTTTGTTTTTCTCTCTATATTGTTTATATTTACTATATTATGTGTGATGACTGAATAAAAAACGACTACTACAAGCCTGTTGCAACCAGCCATGTGCAGCTTCAAACGCAGCATAAAGTAGTAATTTACTGCTCCACATGAGTAATTTACAACAAAGTGTACAACATACACCTCCCCTGAGCAGGTGAAAGTTGTTCCTTATTAACTGTTACGTTGGTGGAACAGAAATATGGTGAGAATCAATGTGAGAAGAGCCAGAGGAACATATTGTTAGCACATTTCCCGTGACAGTCTACATCTCGTAACGTTGTTGACGACGGTGCACAGTTACTTCATGCCGCTTCACTTCACTTGAGATAGGAATTGCTGCTGGTGCCACTGGGTTGCCCGTAACAGGAATTTGTTACGGTTAAGGTGCTGACTGTATCAGAATCCTGTCGCCAAGATGGAAGCTTTCTAAGGACAATGTTTATGTTTGGTACAGCCATCCTCGCCATAGAGAGGTACACATAGCATACATTATGTTCTCTTTTTAAAAAAAAATAAGAGTCTTAATTTCTGTTATAACAGTGCATTCATCTTCCTTTTCATGTGAATATGCGCTCAGTAAAACTTCATTCTGTAATGATGTTTGATTGCAGTTCTAAGTATAGAGATGGGGCAGATGAAAAAAGTAAAAAATGAATGTGAAACTAAATTGATGAAGCAGTGATGTGTGTTGATTCTTCTTCAGCTTAGAATCTAACAAGTTCAGCTGGTGCAACAGGCTGCAGAACTCTTGTCTGAAGACTGAATACGTGTCAGTCTGAGGTGGAGTGAAACCACCTCTGTTTTCATGTGGTCAGTCCATCTGAATCAAACAGTGAGATCTTCTATCTTGCACCAACATTAAGCAATCAATATGAGGAGAAATCCCTTGCAGAGGATGCTGGGAGAAAGATATCCACACGAAAGGCAGCCACGAGACAGGTGTGGTTCGGATAAAAGGCATAAGTGTAAAGCTTCTCGTTCTTACTGTTCCATTACTAGTGCTATTGATTCCTCTGCGTACTTTCCTACAGCTAATGAACAAATACTAGACAAGTTTTCAGGGGGGCTGTCAAACGCCATTTTGGGAGACAGAGAAAATCACTACCGAGCAGAAGCAGACAGGTTCAGAAAATGTCTGAGCACCAACAAAAGCACTCCTGAGATGAAATGCACTGACCATCACAGAAGAATACAACTTTCCAATCCAATATTAGTCACTGGCATTTTTTTTTTACTGACTCTGAATAACTTTGTGATATTTAATGCGATGACTGTCCTGAGCCAACGTGGAGAGAGGAGCAGCTGCTGCAGATCACGGGTAACAAGACACAGATGTGAGCCTGTAACAGAGTTTGCTTGAGCAGAATTATTTTATGTAGTCTTAATGTCCGGCCTTAGACATTTAAAATTGCTTCTTCAATATTTTTTTTTCTTCACTGAAGAGTTCAACATTTAGTTCAACATTTTGGAAAATACACTCTGCTTTCCTCCTGAGATTCGGGTGAAATGTGAAAAAGTTTATGCAGCAAACATCAGCAGTAACAAGCTGCTTAATAATCTAGAACAGTGCAAAAATAAACATGATGTGTATAGACAGCTGTGAAAAACCATTAGAGCGAGTGCAGATAGAGTCGGGTGACTTACAGCGGACTTCCAGGTACATGTGCTTGTTGTCCTGACCGATGGAGTTGCTGGCGGTGCAGAGATACTCGCCGGCGTAGGTGAACTGGATGTTTTTCAAGGTGAGAGAGGACACCCGTGCGTGGCTGCGTACCACAATATTCCTATCAAGGCTCTATAAAGGAGAAAGGAAAGAAATTATTCTCACTTCCAAAGCCCAACATTCCTGTGGAAATGATGCATGTCTTGATACTTTCTCTGAGAGTTTTTATATTTAACTGGTGTAAATGCAGGAAGTTTGCTACAAGAAAAACCTGGAAAAATAATGGACGTGTTTCTGGTTTGGAATAAAAATATTAAATAAAAAGAACAGGAATTTAAATTGTATTATAAAAAAAAACAAACCAACAAAAAGACAAAACAAAACTGTGACGGACACTTTTTGGTTGACAGGTGAGAAAATTACAGCTGCAATGAGCTCTTAATACAAAAGAGACAGAAGATAAAAAAAAAGATAAGACTGTTGTTACTCTACACTTTTGCTATTGTGAAGTACGTGGTACGGACAGAATTGGGAAGTTTTGAAGCTCGGAGAGGAATAACACATCGTTGGTGTTGGTATTTTTTATGAGATTTGTTGATAATAAGAAAAATAGAAACACATCCATCTTATCATTTACAGTCTGGGCGAGGTCCCTGCGGCAAATCCTCGCATCATAAAAACACCCATCAATCTTGAAATCATACAAAAAAATGTTCCGTCTCTGACGGATACATAAAACAGCAGCACGACAGACATCACTGACCCGCAGAGACCGTCCCTACATCAGCCTGGAAATCAGCGGCCAATAAACTCCTACAGTCTGTCGATTACTGTCCCTGCTGTTTAGCAGTCTAGTTGCAGGTTTACAGACAGTCTAATTGCAGTTGAAACACTGTAATTGCAGTTGGGACAAATGGCTTGTTAAACCTTGTGTTTTTTGTTTTTTTTAATTTTCCTGAGCAGATCATCCTCAGTGCTGCTGTTCTGTGGTTACGCAGGGTCACTGAGGATGTGATCTGCCTTCTTCAGAGTGCAGGTGTGCAGCTGACATCTGAGTTCACCCAGCAGCACCCTGCCTCACCTTATTAATCATGTGCTACAACCTAGCTTGATCTTTAGTGCGTATATTATCAAATACAAGGCCAAAGGACAGGGTGCTTTGTTTTCTGCTCTGTCCAATTGTTCTTGATGACGTTCACTGTCGCACGTGACTATATTCGCACACAGTCTTTTTTTTTTGCTGCTAAATAAATTCAGATTTATTCTCACATGCTTTCTGCTCTGAAATGATACTGCAGAAGGTAGAAGGTGGGGAAAAAAAGACATCAATAATGGAGAAGAGCCATGTAGCAAGCCTTGTAAAAACTCTGGCTGTTAAAAATACAGTAACAGCTTTTCTTTCCTCTGGGCGACACACAGTTCAAACCAACGGGGGACATACATCTTCTGCCAAGCTGCCATGATTTTCTATGAATATTTCAGGCGTTCGTGGTGCTTCAGCATTTATGTTTGATAAATTATTGAATATTTGTTGTATTAGCGTTATGGAATGAACTGTTATCCTTTACAGAGCACGATGATGCAGATATGGCAGGAATATTTCTGCTGTTTACTGAACATCTGAGGGGAGTGTCCTGGAACATTTGGAAAGGGCAGCATTAATCTTGTCTTACTGCGGTGACACAGGCGGGAGCTGTACACTGGGCATACTGTTCGAATGTAAACAGGCATAAGGTTAATGGAGAATAACACTTTAATGACACAACAGAGGCAGGAGTGAACAGGCAGACCTTTGAACAGGATTTATCCACTAATTCCAATTAATCATTTTAATTATACAACTGTGACTCGTCATCAGATTCATTATGTAGCAGACAGCGGACTTGTAATGGAAAGCGTGGAAATGATTTCCCCAAGTTTGATAGTCGCTTCCGCTTCGCTGTGTGTGCCAGAACTGACACTGACTTACATAACCTGTCAATACATGTGTTTTGCCTAACTCACATTCTGTACTACAGCTGTTACACAGCCAGCCTGACTCCGCACAGGACTCATCTGTCACTGAAACCCACTTCACTCTTTAAATGTGCTGCTTCTATATTTTCATTAAATTTAAATTAAAGTTGACACAAGGGAAGCTTTTGTCTGCAATCAAGGAGAAATTCAGGGAGGATTTTTTATTTTTTTTTCTGTCACCACATCTCCGCCTGCACCACCTACAGCTTTACTGATTTAATAAGCAAAGATATTAATGCTGCTGATATGTCATGCTGGATTTTTGTAAATACAAATTCTCATGAGGAACAGACTGACATGCTATCATCAGCATGCTAACACGCTAACACTGAAAATGTTAACACTCTCATATTTAGCAGGTGTAACGTTTACAACGTTCATCATCTTTGATTAGCATGTTAGCATGATAGCATCTGCTAATTAGCAGTAAACACAGAGCACAGTTGAGTGTTTGGTCATTAAAAAAAGGTATTGGACAAGTTGAAATTTTGATCTGAGGACGGCACTAGATGAAAAGTCAGGAGAATCCCCAGAATGATTGCAATTCTTCCTGCAGGGGAAATGAATGTCTGAACCAAATTCAATGGAAAACTTGCAGTTAGCTGCCGAGACGTTTCACTCTAAACCTGCCGGTCGCCTTTTTAATCAGCACCGACAGATTAATGGCATCTACTGCTGGTCACCATGCACAGGCTCAGAGAGTCTATGACTGATGGTCAAGCCGTACCCTGAAACAGTACAGGGACATTAGTACAGGGTCCAATCAGGGACAGGCAGTGCTGTCAGCAACCAATGAGAGTTCTCCCATTTACCATCACCTTCTGAGCCATGCCGAAATTTAGGCAGATCCTGTGACCATAGCTAGAAGGAGGATTGGACTAATGAAAGTAGAGCCGAGGCTGACAACATCTTAAAATGGCCACTGTATCTAGAATACAGCTCATGATTAATTGCCTCTGAATTTGAGGGATGGACCCAACGGCAGGATGTGACAAATGAAGGAATACTCTTTGGAGATAACCTGACGGCCAGGCTGGACCGGAGCCTCCTCTAGAAATTCAGCTATCTGCCAAAACTAATGGTGCATTTGAGTGGTCCTTGCCCAAGAGTGAAGAATGTTGATGTTTGGGGGCACCCAGGGGTTTAAGGGGCTGACCATGAATATATGGAAACAACGTCCCCGGTTTCCTCAGTCAACCTGGGGACCTTTGCTTTGCATATCATTCCTCCTCTCTCTCTGTCCTGTTATTTCTGTACTGTCTGCTCCTCCAATAACAATACGAAATCTCAATACAAAATGTTAAGCTGAGACAGGCTTCATTACATCCCAGTTTACAGGATGGGTTTTCATATAGCACTTCAGTTCATAATAGACACAGATAAATAAAGGTAGTAAATAGGGCACTATCAAACCATGTGACCGGCTTCACGGATGTCCAAGCTGTTGCTGCCTTTCTTCCACGATTTACGCCTTGCAGTAACAATTGGTTTAGTCTAAGTGGTACAGTGTATCTACCAATCACAGACGCACTTGAGTACAAACATATACGTGAATACAAGGTCATGTTTTCTTTTCAGACTTTATGACAAGTATTGCCCAAATGCTCTATTCAGCATTGCTAAAAAAAAATCAATGGCATTCAGCAGGCAGGTTATTATAATCAGACCCCGATCTGGTTTAAGTGACAGGTTGCTTTGTGAAGAGCACTTCTTGATGAAATAAAGACACATTGTAAAAACTTAGCAGTTCTATTCAGCGAAATATTACCTTTCAGGTTACATTCATCGTCCTGACTAATCATTTAACGCCTGCTCGTTAACAGCCTATGATTTACGCCCATCACAGCCGAGTTAAGCCAATGAGTTCATCCTATACAAGCACAAACTCTTATTAATGACTATTGATTAGTTTAATCCATGCCGTGCAATTAGAAGTGCATTAATCAATGGCTGATTTTCTATAGTGAGCTACATCAAAATATTTACCAGTTATATTTCTGTCTTTACTGCTGCTGCAGAACTATTGACTGATAATATCTTCAGATACAGAATATTTGAAGACATCTCATAGATCATGAGACGAGTAAGTTTTATGATATTCCTGTTTTCAGGACTTTTATAACAGAAGCGACTGTATCAGGTGGATTTTATTCTCTCACTCTAACTGCCATCACCCTGTAGGAACAAGCAGTTTTAGAGGAAGCGGTGAGCAAAATTGGAATGGACGGAAACAGCAAACTGTTGAGGATATTACACTACAAACACTCTTCTCTACTGGCAACCATCTACTGAATAAGTGCATTTAGCTACAGTGAAAAAAGCTACACTTTACTTCTACTAAGAGCTGGGTGTCTACAAAAATCAAGAAAGAACCCTACAGGGAAAACAGCATCACAAACAACGAAAGCATCTACAAGTAATTAGAAAAAGTAGATTTTTTTTTGGTGCAGATTTTATAGCCAGCAGTGTCAAGTAACGGCTACTAAATGGAATTATGACTGCAACCGGAAGCTAACAAAAACCATAATAAAACCATGACAATAATAATAAATATACCGCAGCTGAGCCATAAATTACACAACTTGAAATCCAGGTGATGGTTCACTCACTGGTTTCATGCTGGGATGCCTTGAAAAGACTCATGTGATGCAATAATCGAAATAAATTCACAAAAGTAGTCATTTCGAATTTGCACGTGTGTATGTGTGTGTGTGTGTGTGTGTGTGTGTGTGTGTGTGTGAGAGACAATGAGTGAAGTTAGCTTGTTATATTGTGTCAGTTCTTTCTAGAGGCAGTGGTTCTTATTTCGTGTAGGCCAAGAGGAGTCTGTATGTTTCCTTCCAGTCAAACACTACAGCAGGGGCTTCGTGTATAAATGTGTTTTCTGGATTTATAATTAAGAAAAAATGTTTGTTATCATTTCCCAAAGTTGGATGCTTAAAAAAAAAAATGTTGTTACTAGTGTTTAAAGAGACGAAACTGAATCATGATCCTGCACCTGAAATAAGCAAACCACAAACAGAATCTCATCCTCCTCCAGTGTATTTGAGGATGGACACAGAAATCTCAGAGAGGGATATCTGAAAGCCTGGGCAAATAAAACCAAGACTATCTTG